GGATAAAACTCCACGCTGAGCGGCATCTCCCGCCACCGGAATTTCACCTCGTAATACTCGTCATACCCATCCGATTCGTGGTAATAATCGGGTTTCCTTACCTCCGGGAAAAAGAAATCCATAAAAACCCGCACGCGGTCAGGCGCCTGCGCTGCTTTTATTGATTTTTCAAATTCCTGCTTAACATCCTGGGCCTGCAATAGGCTGGAAATCCCAAGCATCAGCAGAGCGGAGCAAATTTTCTTCATGGCTGTAAAGTTAATCAAGGCTTACTTAGCTTCACTGCTTCTAATGCCTTCTGCCGCAGGGCCGCATCACCTTCTTTCATCACGCTCAGCATGCCCAGGCATTCCCACGCATACCTTTTCCCAAAACCGGGATCATTGGCCAAAATATCCTGGCTGTTATCCAAAATATCGGCATATTTTACCGTTTGCGCGTCACCGCTCACTTTTGCCAAGCGCTCCGTTTCCATTTGCTTGCGCTTCTTGCGGTTCCACTGCGGATAATGCTTTTTCTCGTATACATCCGTCAGTTCTTCTACCAGTTGCATGGTTTTTTGGGCCTGTGAACCATTTACCACCGAATTTAAAAAAGACATGATTTCCTGTCGTGTGGTCTCGCTGTCTTCTAAAACATCGTGCAGCAGTGCGGCTGCCAGCAAGGGTAGGTCGTCTCGATACTGCCGCACGGTTTCCATTACCCTTAGCGGGTGATTGATGTAGCGCTCACCCGAATATTTTCGCAATTGCGAACCATGCGCCTCATCGGCAAAATCNNTTTTTAAGCGTATCAGATAGCATGTGAAATTAACCGTTTGCCTAAGTGGGAGTTTATTGAAAATTTTAACAAGATCATTTGGTGAGGGATCAAAATTTGAAACGCAACATACGAAAATAGCTGCCCTCAGAAGGGTGGTTCTACTATCAAAAAAGGCGTCTGACGGCTAAAAGCCTTCTGACGCCAGGACCTCAACGTCAGCCGGTTCGAGCGGAGTCGAGAACACGCAAGTTTTTATCAATTATTTCTTCTCTTCCTTATGCATTGGTTCCCTCCTTTATGCCCGGAATGAAAAAANNAACCTCTAAAACCGCTTCGTGTACTTATGGCAATAAGGCGTGCCGCCTTTGTTTGCGTAGTAGTCCTGATGATAATCCTCCTTCTCCGGGTAAAAAGTATCTACCGCTGTAATCTCCGTGGCGATGTCGTAGCCCTTTTCTTCCAGTTCCGTTTTTAATTTTTCCGCCACTTTTTTCTGCTCATCGTTTAGGTAGAAAATAGCGCTGCGGTACTGGGTACCAATATCCGGCCCCTGGCGGTTCATTTGTGTGGGGTCGTGGGTTTCAAAGAACAGTTTAGTCAGCTCTTCGTAAGAAATTTTCTTAGGATCGTACACGATTTCCACCGTTTCGGCATGGCCGGTGGTGCCGCTGCATACTTCGCGGTAAGTTGGGTTTTCTACGTGTCCGCCCGCGTAGCCCACCGTGGTTTCAATCACGCCTTCGGCCTGCTGCATGTAATATTCCGTTCCCCAATAGCAGCCGCTGGCAAAGAGGGCCCGCTCGTAATTTTTATTGTCGTTCATTTTTTGCGCGTTTAATGATGCAAAGCTCATTGCTATGCTTAGTAAAACCAACAGCTTTTTCATATGATAATGTTTAAACATTATATACGCAAAAGACGGGCCATTGGTTCCGGCTGTTTATAGTTTAAAGTTCAAGGTTGCAAGGTTACAAGGTTTAAGGTTTAAGGTTTAAGGTTTAAGGTTGGTTAACTGACAACATCAACCAAACAACACAATATTGGGTCTAACCTTGAACTTTCAACCTAAAACGATCCTTTCTGGAAGGCGTCAGGAGACGCGCACCAGCATGAGTAATGATTTATGCTTCAAAATTCTTGTAACTTTACTCAACAAAGCACCCGCTCATATGAAACTAGTAACCTTAAAACTAAACGAAGATCTCTGGAAGGAACTCAGAAATCTGCTAATCCGAGCAGGGCGTGATAAAGCAGAGATAGTAGAAGAGTGGGACGAACAAATTCAGGAACTTAAGGAAGCTCACGCTGAATTAGAAAATCCTAATTCTGAATTCATAAGCCTGGAAGAGTTGGATCAAAAGCTAAAGCAAGTCATTGCCCGGTATGAAGATTAAAATTCTTCAATCTTATGCAGAGAAATTAGCCAATCAAGTTGAATACATTGCTCAAGACAAGCCTGAGGCTGCGCAGAAATTCAGGATTGAATTTCTGGCTGAGATCGCTAAAATTTCAAAATTCCCATTCAGCTACCGTCAATCAAGATATTTCGGTGATGCAAACATCAGAGAGATGATTTTCAAGGGTTATGCTACCATTGTTCGGGTAAGCGAAGAAAAGTAGGAAATTGAAGTTTTCGCCCTAATAAAATGGCAGCGCAAGCCTTGAACCTCTTTGAACGTGCCGGAAGTCACGCGTTAGCAGATGCTGCCGCGAGAGTCCTCTCTCGTGGCTAAAAAAGCAAATAGTTGAAGGTTTAAAGTTGATTGACTGACCACACGAACCAAATAACACAATGCTGGGTCTAACCTTGAACTATCAACTTTTCAACCCTTAATTACCTTGATGGAGCGCGTCAGGAGACGTGCACCAGCATGTGCCTTACCAAGATGTTTTGATGTGATTTAGAGGCTAATAGAATGATTAACAACAGGTAAAATCACCCCTGCGATCCCCTCGAAGGGGACAGATTCGCATGCCGTCCCGCTTTTATTCGAAGAGGTTATTACTTTCCAATGTGATAATTTATACCGGCAGAAAAATTCCACCAAGCAGCATCTGACAATTTCCATATTACGTCATAGGTATATCTATCCTCATAAGTGATACCATACCTCATAGACTCGTGCAAAAAATATTGTACCATTAACTCCAAACTAAATGTGTGCTTATAATTGGTAGAGGGTAAAGCAAGCAACAGCAACTCCAAACGAGTACCTACAAATCCCGATGTAAAAAGCGAAAAATTCAAAAACCCTCCATAAGCTTTAGTTTCAATTGATCGCCAGGTTATTTCGGGATCGTGAAGGGCTTGATACATTTTGAAGGTATATCCTTCAGAGCGTATTAATACTCCCGCTACTAAGCCAGGCTTAAGCCAAATGTCTCCTAGCCTTACCTTTGAATTTATACTGAAACGGAGCCCCACCTCTTCCATACTTTTCCTTCGGGGGATGGAAATTTGCAAATTTTGATCGGGCACACTAATATTCATGTCGCGCTGGATATCGTAAAATAACTCCACACCCACTCCAAGCCACTGATTATACCAACCGTCAATCTGCAGGCCTATTTGCAAAGGAACTGCAGGATATACCACTCCGCGATTAATTATTTCCTGGGCAGAAGCAAAATTTGCATTTAATTGGCCTGACGCAGGAAGCACGGACGGGCCCCAAAAAGTTCGTGCAGCAAAACCGATGGACCATTTTTTAAAAGGTGTATGTTCTTTTCCAGATAAAGGCCAATAGGCCTGCTGAGCGCTAGCACCAAAGAAACAGAGTAACATGATCATGAGCAGGGAAAGCCGCATTTAAGCCGTATTTTATGCCTGGAAAATAAACATTATATCATCCACAGTGCAATTATTGCTGGAAATAATCCAAGTCCTGAAAATGTCAAGTGAATATCATTTTTGCCTGCGCACCGCTTCCGCGAAAGTCCTCTCTCGTGGCTAAGAAACATGTATGGAGAATGCGTCTGGAGACGCACACCAGCGTTGTGATACTTAAAATCACCCCTGTGGTCCCCTCAAAGGGGACAGGTTCAAATACCGCCCCGTGGGCTGACCTTAAACTTTAAATCTTCAACCAGGAGCTATCCAACCTTAAACTTCCAAATTTCAACCTTTAACCAATCCCTTCTCCAACAGCTTCTCCGCAATTTGAATGGCATTGGTGGCGGCCCCTTTGCGCAGGTTGTCGGCTACTATCCACAGGTTTACGGTGTTCACCTGGCTTAAGTCCCTGCGGATGCGGCCCACAAATACATCGTCTTTGTCCCTGGCGTACAGCGGCATCGGGTACTGGTTTACATCTGGATTGTCTTGTACCGTTACACCCGGAGTGTCGGCCAGTAGTTTGCGCAAATCGGTAGTATTGTATTCTGAATTGAATTCAATATTTACGCTTTCGCTGTGGCCACCCATCACCGGCACGCGCACCGCGGTGGCGGTAAGGTGTACGTTGTCATCGGACAGAATCTTTTTGGTTTCGTTGGTCAGCTTCATCTCTTCTTTGGTGTAGCCGTTGTCCATAAATGCATCGCAGTGCGGCAGGCAGTTGCGGTCAATCGGGTAAGGATAAACCATGGCGCCACTCTCGCCCGCGCGCTCTTGCTCCATCTGCCGTAAGGCCGCCATGCCGGTGCCAGTGATGCTTTGGTAGGTGCTTACCACTACGCGCTTGATGCCGTATTTCTGGTGAAGCGGCTTGAGCACCATCACCAACTGAATGGTAGAACAGTTGGGGTTGGCAATGATTTTATCTTCTGCGGTGAGAGTGTCACCGTTAATTTCGGGCACAATCAGCTTCTTGTCCGGATCCATGCGCCAGGCCGATGAATTGTCGATTACCGTGCAGCCCACCTTGGCAAATTCGGGCGCCCACTGTTTGGAAGTTTCGCCCCCAGCCGAGAAAATGGCAATGTCGGGCTGCAGATTAACCGCTTCGCGCATGGCCTGTATTTTATAAACCCGGTTGTTGAATTTCAATTCTTTTCCCACCGATTTCTCCGATGCCACCGGAATAAGTTCGGTTACCGGAAACTTGCGCTCTTGCAACAGTTTTAACATTACCTGCCCCACCATGCCGGTGGCGCCCACTACGGCCACTCTCATAAAATATTTCTTAAATTCACCTTTTAAACTGCCCGCAAAACTACTGATTTGAAAGCCATTAACCACACCCTGCTTCTGCTGCTTTTCGCTCCTCTCCCATTGTTTTCACAACTGGTTATTGCCGATGATTTTTCGGACGGTAATTTTAGTCAAAACCCCACGTGGACGGGCGATACGAGCCTTTTTCGGGTGGACACCAACCATCGCTTGCAATTGGTTGACAGCCTGGCGGGCAGCGCCTACCTCAGCACGCCCAGCACCATTATTGAAGATGCGGTTTGGGAGTTTGAACTGCTCCTGGACTTCAATCCCAGCGGTAGCAATTTTGCCCGCGTTTATTTGGTGAGCGATCAGCCCGATTTATCGGCTGCACTCAATGGCTACTTCGTGCGCATCAGTGGCTCTTCGGCCGATAGAATTTCGCTCTTCCGGCAAACGGGCAGCAACATTTCGCTGGTGGCGGAAAGTGGCGATGACTGGGCCGATACGGATCCCGCAAAGGCCTACATCCGCGTTAAGCGCAGAAGTGACGGCTTTTGGCACCTGGCGGCCGATACGGGAACGTTTCAGAATTACGTGCCGCTGGATTCGGCTTTTGACCTGGCCCACCGCAGCAGCGCCTGGTTAGGCGTGAATTATGAATACACCAAAACCCGGGCCGATAAATTCTTTTTTGACAACCTGCAGGCCAGCGGCCGTGCCTTTGTGGATTCCATTGCCCCTACATTGGATTCTTTGGAAATTTTGAGCACCAATGCCCTGCTGCTCACCTTTAGTGAAAGCCCAACAACGACCAGCGCTGAAAATCCGGCAAATTACCAGTTAAGCGCGGGTATGGGCCAACCGTTGCTGGCTTTGCAAAATCCGCAAGACCCGCGGCAGGTGGAGCTAAACTGGGCCAATAATTTTCAAAATAAGCAAACGTATACCCTGAGCTATAGCGGGATTCTGGACGATTTCAATAATGCCGCCCAGGGCAGTATAAACTTTGCCTACCTGGTGGCCGAAGCGGGCGATGTGGTAATTAACGAGCTGATGCCCGACCCGGTGCCCAGCGTGGGGAATCCGCCAAACGCCCTGCCCGAACGGGAATACATTGAACTGTACAACCGCACAAATTTGCCCATTAACCTGCAAGGCTGGACCTTAATTGCCGGCAATAGCACCGAGGTTTTGCCCGCTTATGAATTGGCGGCCGATTCCTTCGTGATGATCACCAAAGATGAAGGCGTCCCGGAGTTCCCGCCCGGCTTGCCCATGTTAGGCCTGGACATGAGCAGCGTAGCCCTGACCAACAGCGGCAATAGCGTTTCGCTGCTTTCGCCAGAAGGCATATTAATTAGCACCGTGAGCTATACCGATGCCTGGTACCGCGATGCCAATAAAGAAGATGGCGGCTGGAGCCTGGAGCAGATTGACCCCCACAACCTTTGCGGAGGAAAAGCCAACTGGCAGGCTTCGGTTGATGCCAACGGGGGAACGCCCGGCCACCAAAACAGCGTGTTTGGCCTGAACCCTGACACTACAGCCCCGCGCTTGGTACGGGCCGCCCTGCCGGGCGATAGCCTCATCATGGTTTTCTTTTCGGAGGCCCTGTCCGATGAACTTATATTTCAGCCGGGAAACTACCGCTTGGTTCCTCCCCTTCCCATTGATTCAGTTTCGGTGCCCCTTTCGCGCGACCGCGTGGTGCTTTACCTGGCTAAGGGCCTGGCCCCGGAAACCATTTACAATCTTTCCCTGGATTCGCTGCCGCAAGATTGTAGTGGAAATTTCATGAAGCGCGATACCCTGCGCTTTGGCATTCCGGCTGTACCCGAAGCGGGAGATATTCTGATCAACGAAGTACTTTTCAACCCTCCCCCCGAGGGCAGCGATTTTGTGGAGCTTTACAATGCCAGCGATAAAGTCTTTGACCTCTCAAAAATACTGCTGGGAAATTATGATGCCATAAGCCAAAGCATTGCAGATGGCGAGCCAATTAGCGAGGAGAGTTTTCTGTTTTTCCCGCAAACCTACCTAGCCTTAACCAGCGATACCGCCTTCCTGAGAAAGGAATATTTCAGCAAAAATCCTGGAAACCTGGTAGAAGTTACGGCCCTTCCGTCCCTCCCCGATAATGAAGGCAACCTGGCGCTTAGCAGCTTGAATTTGCAGTTGCTGGAATACTTTCAATACGAGGAAGACCTGCACCTGCCGGTAATTAATGATCCCGAAGGGATTAGCCTGGAGCGCAGAAGCCTGGCGATTACTGCCCAGAAAAATGAAAATTGGCAAAGCGCAGCCGCGGCTGCCGGTTACGCCACCCCAGGCTATGAAAATTCACAACGCTTTCAGCCGGTTTTTACGGCACAATTAAAGCCTGAACCTAAAGTTTTCAGTCCGAATCAGGATGGCTACCACGACCAGGTGAACATTGCCTTTGCCTTTGAGCAGCCCAATAACGTGGTAAGCTTAAGCGTGTATTCACCAGCCGGGGCTTTGGTACGGCAAATTGTAGAAAGTGAAAACGTTGCGCAAACCGGTTTTTTCAGNNGGCACCGATGCAAACGGACAACTGGCCAACCGCGGAATTTACATCTTAGTGTTGGACTATTTTAATGCCGATGGCACCACCGCAGTGCTACGGGAGACTTGCGTCTTGAGTAGGTGAGGTTTGGTGTTTGAGGTTTATTGGGTTTAGAAAGTTTGTTAAGGCAGGGGTGCCGTAACGATTCCATTATTATGGTAGGCTGAGGGTTTCGACAGGCTCAACCTGACAGAGTTTTGGGCTGATCAATGGCCTGTTGCGCGGAAGGAATGCGCTTTTTTGACACATGCAAAATGAGATAACGAGAAGCGCTTCGACTGCCGCTCCCAAGCCGGAGTGAGTTTCGGTTTTAAAACCAAAACCATGATTTCGGGCTGGCGGGCCTCTAAAATCTAACGTCTGACTTCTAATATCTAAATTCTAGAATCTAACGTCTAACATCTCACCGCGCCAGCCATTCCTCCACCTTTGGCAACAGGGCAATATCGGCCACCATCAGTTCCAGTTCGCTCAGCTCGTCAATGGTAAACCAGCCGTGTTGATCGTGGTCGGTGAGGTTTAGTTTTTCTGATTTCAGACTGGTGATAAAAGCTTTGAGGTCGAAAGAGCCGGTTTTATTTTTCCAGCTTACCGTATGCAGGTGCTCCCGCACTTCTGCTTCAGTGCCAAGCTCTTCTTTTATTTCGCGCTTCAGGGCTTGCTCCGGGCCTTCGGCCGCCTGCAGTTTGCCCCCGGGAAATTCCCAATAGCCGGCATGCGGCTTATGCTCGGCTCTGCGTGCGGCAAAAACCTTCTTTTCATCATTCACAATTATCCCGCATACTACTTCTATCATAAGCCTTAAGGTATTAGTAATTTTGTGCCATGGAGGTTTCTGAAAAAATCCGCAATATTTTAAAGGTTTTGCCCAACAAGCCGGGAGTGTATCAGCACATCGACAAAAATGGGAAGATCCTTTACATCGGCAAAGCCAAAGACCTGAAAAAACGCGTTTCCAGCTATTTTACCAAATCGCACGACAGTGCCCGCATTTACGTAATGGTGCGCAAAGTGGTTGATATTAAAACCATTGTAACCGAAACCGAGTTTGACGCTCTTTTGTTGGAAAACAACCTGATAAAGGAATACCAGCCGCGGTACAACATCAACCTGAAAGACGATAAAACCTACCCCTGGATTTGCATTAAAAAGGAACCTTTTCCGCGCATTTTTCCCACCCGCAACCCGGTAAAAGATGGCTCCGAGTACTTCGGGCCTTACGCCTCGGTGAAGGTGATGAAAACGGTACTGGGCCTCATTCGCCAGTTGTATCACATCCGAACCTGTAAGCTCAATTTGAGCGATGAAAACATACAGTCGGGCAAATTTCGGGTGTGCCTGGAATACCATATTGGCAATTGCCTGGGCCCCTGCGAAGCGCGGCAAACCGAGAAGCAGTATAACCTGGACGTGGAAGCCGCCCGCATGCTGATCAAGGGAAACCTCAACGCGGTAAAGCGCCAACTGGAGCAACAAATGCGCGCTGAAGCGGAAGAACTGCGCTTTGAAGAGGCACAGAAAACCAAGGAGAAGTATCAGTTGATTGATCGTTATCAGGCCAAAAGCACGGTGGTAAATCCCAATATCACCAACGTGGATGTGTTTTCGGTTTTCACCGATGCAGAATACGGCTACGTTAATTTTCTGAAAATTATTGACGGGGCAGTGTTGCAATCGCACACCGTAGAAATGAAAAAGAAGCTGGAGGAAAGCGAAGCCGAATTTCTGGAGTTGGCCATTCCGGAACTGCGCAACCGTTTTAGTTCAGACAGCCGCGAGGTTTATCTTTCACATGAAGTGGACTTTGAAATTCCGGAAGTCAACTTCCACGTTCCCCAGCGAGGCGATAAAAAGCATTTGGTGGAATTGAGCCTGAAAAACGGACGCTATTTCCGCATGGAAAAACTCAAAAACATTCAGATCGTGGACCCCGACCGCCACGTAAAACGCCTGATGGGGCAAATGCAGAAAGATTTGCGCCTGAGCGAAGAGCCGCGCCACATCGAATGTTTCGACAATTCCAACATTCAGGGCACCAACCCGGTTTCAGCCTGCGTGGTGTTTAAAGACGGCAAGCCCAGCAAAAAAGATTACCGCCATTTTAACATTAAAACCGTGGAGGGCCCGGACGATTACGCCAGTATGTACGAGGCGGTTTTCAGGCGTTACCGCAGGCTGCTGAACGAAAACGAGCCGCTGCCGCAACTCATCGTTATTGATGGGGGCAAAGGGCAGCTGGGCTCGGCCGTAAAGGCCCTGGAAGATCTTGAACTGCGTGGCAAGATTGCCATTCTGGGCATCGCCAAAAGGCTGGAAGAACTGTTTTTCCCGGGCGATAAATACCCGCTTTATTTAGATAAACGCTCAGAAACTTTAAAGGTAATTCAGCGCCTGCGCGATGAAGCCCACCGCTTTGGCATTACCCACCACCGCAACCGCAGAAGCAAGGGCACTTTTAAATCGGAGCTGGAACAAATCAACGGAATTGGCAAAAAAACCGTTAAGGAACTGTTGAGCAAGTTTAAAAGTGTGAAAAAGGTACGTGAAGCGGGGGAAGACGAATTGACGCAAGTGGTGGGGCCCCATCGCGCCAAGCAAATAACTGCTTATTTTGCAGACCATGAAAATCAATAACCGGTGAGAAGCCTGCTGATTGCCATAGCCATTCTTAGCCTTCACCCACTTTGGGGTCAGCTGGATAGCGCGCAGAAAGACCCCATTAAAATTGGCCTGGTGTTGAGCGGAGGCGGCTCAAAAGCCATGGCGCAAATAGGCGCCCTCAAGGTAATTGACTCGGCCGGAATCAAGCTTGATTATATAGGCGGCACCAGCATGGGGGCCATTATTGGCGCAATGTACAGCCTGGGCTATACGCCCGAACAAATTGAGACTTACTTGCGGGAGGTTGATTGGGACGCCCTGCTGACCAATGATTTGCCGCGCAACAGTTTGGGCTACTTCGACCGAAAATTTGATTCGCGTTACATGCTCACCTTTCCGGTGGAAGACGGCCGCGTTCAACTGCCGCGCGGGATCAATTACGCACAA